GCTCACCACAGCCCGTGCTACTTGCCCCGCTCCTGTGCCAGGTAAGTCCACTACGGTCTCACTACAGCCCGTGCTACTTGCATCTTCTTGTTCCGAGTAGCTGAATCTAGAACAACAACAACAACGGCTCAAGAAGGCCGGACCAGAGACACTTCAAGATGTTATGCACGACCAAACACCACATTCACTCCAAACATCTACCATCTAAGAGCTCATGCCCGTGTCACCTCTTGTGGTGGCTTAATCTTCCTCAGTCAATGAATCAGCTCAAGAAGCCACAGTGTAGGACGGAAAACGAGATGCTTTCTCACCCATAGAGTTTGTATGGAACCGCCTACCCGCTGAAGCTAGAAATGCCAAAAAATTCGATTTAAAATTCAGCTGGAAAACATCCTCAGGAACAATGAGGGAACCTTTGACAAGCCGCCGGCAACCTGTCCACGTCGAGGCCACTTGAGATAAGGTGGCTGTCGGGTAAATTCGGGTATTTTAGCATCTGTTTTCAGTTTCTCTTTGGTAGTTGTAGTTTGATCTCTTTCTCTGTATTGGAAGCCGTCTCATTTGTCAACAAGAACGCAGGTAGTTTGATAATAAAGGAAAAGGGGCAATATCTTATGGAAAGGAGCATCTTGATCAACCCAGACTGTTGTGGCCGCCTGAGAACACGAAAACATGTCAATATGATGACGGATTCGCTGCCAATGTTGCTCCTCACATTTCCATTTTGTTTCTACGATTAACGTAGTTGTGGTTAGAGAAAGGAGAAGAGGATTGTTGGGGTAGGGGGTAGGATTGTTGTTGAAGGGGTGTACGTAGGATTGTTGTGGGTTAGGAGAATTGTTGAGGTGGGGAGGAGGATTGTTGTTGAAGGGGGAGGATTGTTGTTGTGGGAAGGAGGATTGTTGTTGTTCGGGGGAGGATTGTTGTTGTTGGGGGAGGAGGATTGTTGTTGGGGAAGTGGGGAGGGTTATTGTTGGGGGAGGAGGTTTGCTGTTGTTGGTGGGGAGGAAGATTGTTGTTGTTTGGCGGAGGAGGATTGTTGTTGTCGGGGGGAGGATTGTTGTTGTTGTCGGAGGGGGAGGGTTGCATTAGTGCTTGCTTCGAAAATATTATAGCTGCACGGTGGTGCGTTTCGACACGTTATTTGTTTAAAGAATTTCATTTTTTGATGCCACATTTGTATGTTTGGCCTTGCATTGTTCATCTGTTTATTACAATTGTGTTTACATCCAACCTAATGGGGGGAACAGATCACAATAGCGTGATGAAACAAGGTCGGTTGTTGGCTGTATCCAGGTCGGTTGCGGCCCGTCCCCTCGCGTAGTCATCACATTTTGATCGACCATCCAAGTGGTTGGCCAACATTCCTTCCCTCCGTCCCAGCCCAAATTCTTATCCTGATCCCTTCCCAGTGTTATATTAGTCGTAATGGCTTGGTGCTTTCCCATAATAGTTCCCTTCCCTTCAAGCAATCCCAAAAATTTACACAATCCAAAATTGGAGATGTTTCCATAGAGTTTGTAAAACAGATTTTTCAGTGTTTTGTAAATTTTAAATGTTCAGACAGAGCAAGAGTGTGACAAAATGAGGGAAAGGTAGAGATAGGGAAGAAGAGTGGGATAAAAGGGGAATTTTGGAAGAGAACGAGAGAGGGGAGGATAGAGAGTAGGGTTGGAAAAAGATGGAGTAGGAGGGGGAGAGAGAGTGAAGAGGGAAGGAGGATGGACATAGGGGAAAAGATAAGTGAGGGGACGAGGGGAAATTGGGAGTTAAAGGGCATAGGGGGAAGAGAGACTCGCGTGCAGCCAGCACCCTTCATCTCATTGACTTGAGTCAATGAGTCCTTCAATGAAGAACTTGAGTCCTTCCTCTAGTGATGATTATTCAACCTGTTCTCGCGAGCGTTCACAACATTAAGAAACTGACGTACTAAAGTGCCTTATCCTAACCTACCTAACCAGACCCACAAACAGAAACGGGGCATTATGTCAATTTCACGAGGTGCTATCATTTTCTAGTACGACAGTTATTGTCCTCAAGTAAAATATACGTCGAAATGCAACGTACTTTTATGAGGACAGGTTAGATTATTTGAGTGTGCATAACAGTAGCAAACATTCCTAGCCTTTGTAATTATCCCATGACACACTCGTCATCTGTTTTTTTAATACAGAAAATCTGATTCAGATACCCTGGGTGTTGATAAACCAAAGTTTGTACACACATGCCACAAATTTAGAGTTCTGGGATACCCCCGGGGGCTTGGGAGGTACAGCTGCACAGTAGCAAGGATATTAGTGATTGAAATTGTGTGTAGCGAAGATGTACACAAATATAAAACTTATTTCATATGATTTTACTTCAGGGCCACAAACCCTAGTGACCTCAATGCGGACAGGAAGCTGCCGGATTGTCAAAGATCCCGTAATTATTCTTTAGGATATTTTTCAGTTGAATTTTGAATAGATTCAATGGATATAGGCGCTTCCCAGTTTATTTCCCTATGGATGAAAATGTATCTCCTGTAGTGACAATGTCACTGTTCTGTTTAGGAAGGAGGGGGGGGGGGGGGGGAGCCGTGTGCAATTTACCCAATGTCCTCTAACTCTTTAGTGGCTTCGACAGAGACAGAAAGCCAGCAGCTTGTCAAAAGAGCCCCCCCCCCCAATGTTCCCAAGAATTTTTTCTACCTATCTTAAACTAAAGAAATGACATGGCATTTATGGTTTTGTCAGGTAGATGATTCCATGGGTTTATAGGCCTATGAGTGAAAAAGCATCTCCTGTTTTGTCCTATACTGTGATAGTTTTTGAAGCTGTTGACACTTATTTGATCTTTTAAAGAAGTGTTCTGAATTAATCTCTTCTGACTTGTTAAGTATTTTGAAGGTCTCGACGAGATCAGCCTTGTCGTCTCTGGTTTACAGTGTTGGTTCTGTGGCCCTCAACTCTTCACTGTATGAGAGATGACTTAGATCTGGGACGATTTTTTCTCACACTGTTGAACTTTCTCCAATGCAGATATGTCCTTTTAAAGATGAGGTCGCCATGCTTGGATACAATAGTCGCTATTGAATTTATTTTTGCTTAACATAATTTTGAATTATTCAATATTTTGAATTTAATATTTTTTAATATTTTAATATTTAAATTTAATATTTTTTTAATATTTTAATATTTTAATTTAATATTTTATAATATTTTAATATTTTAATTTAATATTTGTTGAATTTAATATTTTGCAACAAAAATATTAAATCAATTTAATAACTAATTTTGTTGGGGACAGGCAGCCTGTGAACAAGTACATGTTAGGCTTATATCAAGGTCCCCTTCACCCATGGTTGAACTACTGACCCTCACCAAGATGCAACCCCACAACAGGCTGACTAACTCTTGGGTACTTATTTACTGCTGGGTGAACAGGGCATTGGGTGATGGGAAACGTGGCGAACCACTTATGTCCCGCTCAGGATTAAAACCCGGAATTCCCGACTGAGAGTCGAGAATGAACCTGATTGTATTACTACTACTCAAAGCACTACCTGGGTAGTAGGTTAATAGTCCATGATTCATAGAAACACATCAAACACTTACCTACACTACGCATTATTTGGGCCGAAAACGTAATAGGTACAATGCATGGCCTTCAGAAAAATAATCATATTCCCATTATATGTTCAATTTTCATCACAATAGATAGCCTATTTGACCTTGCAAAACTTTATTGCCAAGGAGTTATATACACTAACAAATTTTCACCCATCTACTGCATCACATTCCAACACCTGATAGCCAATGAAAAGTTAACACTAACTTTGCCACAAGAGCATTTGATATCAAATACAACCAAGAATTAATAATCTCATTTACTTCTTGTGCTGAACATCCATAAAGGCTCAGGTCACACCTGATTAACATGGTAAAATTAAAAAAAAAAAAAAACAGACAGGAAGTCTGTGAATATACTTTAGGCTTGTATTAAGGTTTCTCCCCCCCCCCCCCAAGATCAAACTACTGACCCCCCACCAGTATACAACCCCACAACAGCTGGCTATCTCCCGTGTACTGTACCTATTTATTGCTATGTGAATAGTGGCATTAGGTAAAAGAAAACATGCCGACCGATTTCTGTCCCACTAAAGGAATCGAGCCCAGGAACCATGATTGGAAGTCAAGAAGGAAGTCATCTATAATACTACCTTTACAAAAGTATGGCTCTTGTGCATATTATACCAAATCCCAAAAATAACCAGGGAATAAAATGTTTTCCTACAGTACATCATTACTCTAACTCATTGCCTATGCAACATCATGAAGAGGTCTTATGGTGAATGATAAAATATAATTATTTAATTTTTTGGAGTACGGTAGAATGATTTGTCAAATAATCAAGAGTGCACTCACCACTCACAGAAGCATATTGAATTACTTGATAAATCTGGAGCAATCAACACTGGGAATACATCTTCAAATGATTAGTGTTGATGACTAACTCTTATCAAGTTTTTATCATGACAAAACCAAGTTTCTTTATATACAAATTTCTTATTAATTGATTGAAGTAAAGCATGGAGTGTTAAGTCATTTGACTATTACTCATTTGATGAGGAAAGTACGTACAGTGAATGTTGTAAAGACATCAGTTTGTGAAGACAGATGTTGGTAGGTGTATCATGTCTTGCTTTGTTCAGGCTCCCAGGTAATTAATAATAATTTTGTATTTCTAAAATACAGAGGTACATGTTACAGAGGTTGATTAACAGGTGCAAAAATTAATATTTTACAATATTTCGCGCATAAAAAATTATTTAGTTAATATATTTTTAAATACTGTAGGAGAAGTAAACTAACAAATAGGAATTATTGAAGAAGTTTAGCAAATGACATACAATTTAGTAGAGTCTGTAGCTGTAACAACAGTAATACTGTACAGTAATATTAAAAATACAGAAACAGCAAACAAATTAACATATTTAGGATGAGAAAATACGATTTAAATTTGTTACATTATGTTTATTAGGTATTTATTAGTCTTTTTTTTAAATGGTCAGGAGAAATACACCATTAAATTGTATTTGAGAGATCATTCCATAATTTAGGCAGCCCGTCCTCCTAAGGTTTCCCAACGTCAAGAAAATGTCATATTAAAATGCTCTGTCGTAACCTAAAAGAGGACCCAAAATAGAAAATGGGAAAGGATGTCAATTTTGAGAGCCACTACCATTTTCTAATACAACGATTTTGACCTTAGGTAGAGTATGCATCAAAATGTGATGCTCTATTAGGAGGACGGGTTGATTTAGGATCCTTTATTTGCATGGCATTTAAAGTTTGGTCAAGTCACACTCTTGAAATATTAAATAAATATTTGTTTCTCACATGGTGTCCATTTGAAGTCAGTATTAGCATTGCACTTACCGGTAATTGTCTTAGATATATAAGTACACTTGAGTGTATGTACAGTAGTGCCTTAATATTTACCATGTACAAAAGTTTCAATGAGCATCAATCAAATTCAAATGTTTACAGAGGATTCGCTACTGTATGTAATCTGACAGCAAGTTTCTCCTATGCCATGAATCAATCCACCCCCTTAGAGGTGTGTAAAAATTTGGCTTCAGGAAAGATGATTGTACAGAGCCTTTTACAGATCACTAGCCTATTCTCACAATTTGACAAGTGTCCAATTAATGTGCTTTTACAATATGTAAGTGAATGAACCTAAACCAACTTATCTAAGGTCAATACCCTTTTCGCATGCCTATATTTCAACTAAATAATATTCAATTTGTAAGCTTGTATTCCTAGTGTACATTATGTACAGTCCATACATATGGTCCTAATTTCATAGAATATAGAATAATAATTTAATTATTTTAGATGGTAAATCAAAAATAATACAATTAGCAATATTGAGCTCCCATAATTTTTATTCAGCCACAGTTTGATCAAATGAAGAGGAAATATTAAAATCTTGTGAACATTATTCTAACCTCAATCTTGTATGTTTTAAAAGTTATTATACATAAAGAAGTTGTGCTTATGGCTGTAAGGAAACCTATAGTTTGCTTTCCATTGGTTTAAAGTCTAAGTTCATTCAAATATGTAGAATCTAGGATATTATTCCTCTGAATTCATAACCACCTGCTGATTATGTAATCCACAGCTTGGGCAAAATTTTCAGCAATATATGATGGCTTTGGGTCTACAGTAGACTCGTCACCTGGCCTATACTTACCAGTCTTCACCAAAATTCCAAGAAGGCCAGCATTCATTGCGCCACATACGTCATCTTGAGCATCCTGTAAAGGACAAGAAAAACATAGATATAATAATTTTTACTCTTGGTACAAGCTACAATGTAGAACAGAAAACAAGAGATGCTTTTTTTTCCATAGGGTTATGAAACCATAGCACTGGCCCACCCACCAAAGTCGTCAATGTTAGATTGCTACAGTTCAAAATCCAGCTGGATAAAATCATGAAGAAAAATAGAGGTACCTTAGACAAGCTGCTGGCTTCCTGCTCCCACCAAGACCACTAGAGAGATGGTAGCCCTCAGGTAATTCAGGTAAATTGCTATCTACATATATGAAGTATTTAAAATAAGAAAAGCAAAAATGAAAATGAATTTTTGATTGTTGAGTTTTGTATAATAACAACTGTAAGCTTGTTATAGCTTGGAAGAGGTAAGAAAAATACAAAGACTGAGACAGATTAGTTAAGCCATTATGTACGTACAATATAACTTACAAAGCAGTTAGTGAGTGCAAAACTGGCCAGGAATTAACACAAAAATTTATTTTACAATATATAGTACATGAATATCTATACAGTACAGTATTTTCCTTATGTTTATGCTCTCATGGGTGATCCAGAACAATTAGCATAGCTCCCAGAAATATGCTTTTCTTTGGTTCTCTATGCACTGCACTCTTGCTTCTAGGCCAATTTCAATTGGTCTTCAAGATACAGTCTGGACAAGTCACCATTCTGCCAAAGTGTAATGAGAGTCTTTCAAACATCCCTGCTGGATCATACTTGGGCAAGAAAGTCAGTGGAGAAGACTATCCAGACTAAAATGGCCTCCAGAAGGTTAACTTTATTTCTTCGAAACCCTTTCAAGCATTACTCAGCATTAAATAAACCATCCAAGAGCAGTCTGCTAACTGTTAGCCAGCTTGGCTGACCTATACCCCACACTCATTTTGGGTGGATATAAATAGAAGCTCTCTTGTATGGATCAATAGACCTTCTGCAGTTACCTTCATTTTTATGTTCTTGTTCGTCCCTAGATGTCAGCACCTACATGTCAACGTAGTAACTAGGATCTGCCCACCTGAAGTGCCATGACTTTCCTCCCCAGTACATCAGACTTGAGACTACCATTATTCAGTTACCCGACTTGTATTTACCTTACAATCCTCAGTTTTGTTCGACATTTGGCTCATGTTATTAGCAGACACTTTACAAATTGAATGGATACACAGTCATTGCATATCTCTGGATTCGTTAACCAACTAGTGATATATAGGTTGTCTTTTCTGTTCTGCTTCAACTAGTGCCTCAGCAGTGAGTTTTATACATGACCTTTGCAGGACTTCTGGACTTTCTCAGAACAAAGCATTAGTGTTCAATATGCATCTACTGGGTTTCATTCATGGCAACATCACCTTTCTGTGCTTATGCAATTGTTCTGCTTACCCCAGGTCCTGCTTCAAAAAGTGCTGTTCTAGCTATATTTTTTTTATGTTTACCTTTTAATGTGGCAGGCCCATTCTTGTCCTAAAGTTAACTTATTTTCTTGGTATACCTTAACCTAGTCTTGCAATCATATCTTTACTTTGTTCTGCAGTTTTGGATAGAGGTCACAAACTGTAGAACTGCTCCCTGGGACCTCAGATTCTTTGGGATGTGCCCCAGTTTTTCCAAACTACTTGACTTGCTGATGCTCTAGGTTATGCATAAGGTCTGACTATTACTGGAGGCATTTTGTGGAGGTATGCCCTACCTCCGCAAAAACACACCTCTGGTATTTTCACTAGTGCACTGGGTGTGTTTCCCTAGTTCCTCAGGTGCAGATCCCAGATCTTCTGACGTTCTTACCATTCTACAGGATGACTTCCAGGATCCTATTTTTTTTTTCCAGCCACAGAATTGTGCCCTGGATCTCTGGTTTCCTGGATATGTGACCCTGCTTTGCAGATGCATTCCAGGAGATGTGTTTGGTATAGGATCTCTTGATGTGCTCCTTGTTTCATCTTTCCAAAACACTGAATTACTCCTCAGATTGTTTACACCTTAGCCTGTTGGATTATCAAAAGCCAGAGACTCTTATAGTGCCTTACAAGCATTGAAGCAAGCAAGTAATTATCAAAAAGAAGGCCTCAAGGCAGGAAGACTATGTAGCACTGTCTATGTCGATGGATATTCAAAAGGTGCTAAATATCACTCGGGATGCCAATACGAGAACCAAAGAACATAAGGCAAGTGACGTCAAATATAGCAGATTCACCAAGGATTCTATTGAGAGACAAGTGACCCCAAGGGACATTAGGAAAGCAAGATATAAGATTGTCCTGAAAATCGAGACATTCTACAGGGAGGTGCATGACTAAGAGGGACAATGCAGTTTGGACAATATGGAGCATGGTAGTGTTACATTAAGTGCCCGTAACTTAAGTGTGTATTGCTGATACGTAACTTGCCTGAGCCATTTCCCACTGTCCATAACAGTGGTAGGAAGAAGGCTAAGGAAAAGGGTTGTTTTTAAGAGTGTGTAGCTTGTTACCTGTAATTCCAGACCTTTGACTTTGCCAACAGTTGTGGGTTGCAAAATGAATAACTGGGTAGAAATTCAAATAAGAAATTAATTTGAGGAAAAATAGAACATTATTAGAAAAGTGTGAATGGCCTTAATAGTAGTGTCCAAAGGTTCGTTTAAAGTAACACCAACATGGTTGGGAACTCGGCAAAATTTGAATGTACAGTAATAAATCTGCTTGAAACAAGAAACAGAGTATTCGAATTACACCACCACAGGATGCAAAGGATTAAATGACTCCAGACCCATGAGGACACTGTGAAATTCAACCACAATGACAAAGGAATGTTGATACCAATAAAGCAGCTGATGAAGAGCATACAAAATGGCATAAAGTTCCATTGTGATGATGATGATGGTCTCCAGGGGCAGGCACCACATATAAGTTAGGTCAGGAAAAAAAACAGAGTAGCCAATACCGTTGGCAGACTTAAACTCACCTGTGAACAATGCAATGGAGTGAGAGTGAAGAAAATTGTTCCAGGAAAACCCAGAAAAGAAGAAGACAGCAGCAGACGAACAAACAATCACCAAGGCCAAAAGAGCAGAAACCCCAGCGCCAGAGAAGAGCATGGAGCTCTGTAACCCGACCCCCAGAGGCCAATGCCAACAGAAAAAGAGCCATAGAGAAACAATCCTGAACTGAAGGGGCCACAACAAACTGAGAAGACAGAAACGAGAGCACTTCGTCTAAAGACCAGGATGACTATGGCAGAGCACTGCCATTTTTGGCCGGAGGAAAAAAACACCTGAAACAGCTCACACCACAGTGCAGAAGAAACATCAAAACCAAAAGCAAACCAGAGCGGCTCCACCAGAAACGCATGAGACAAGGCGACAGTATGTGTCAAGCCGACAGTCCCAAACCCCCACGAGAGAAGGACAGGACCACGACAACAAACAGTGCAGGATACCTACGAAGAAACAAAAAGAAAAGAAAAGGAAGGACCGCCAGCAAAACCCCATACCGCCGCCGAGACGAAGCACACAGGTGGGACATCGTCAACGAAGCCACCTGATCACCAAACAGATGGTGAGAGACTCAAGTCAAAAGTACCAGACTGGATGACTCCAGGAGAAGACCGAACCAGCCCCTTAACAGATCAGATCAATGATTAGAAAAGAGGCGGAGCCGAGGAAAAATCCCTGGGTTTGGACAACGAACAAGCAGCGCCCAAAACCAAGGCTGGCAAGAAGGAATGGAACGTCCTCCAGGGAACCAGGAATCCAGCAAGGAACAAGGAAAAGGCTGTACCAGGGTCATAACCCGAGTAACCCTGTCCCAACGAAAAGGAGCTGTTGGGGCAGGAGTGGGTGAATGGAACCTACAGCCACCAGCAAACATTACAACACAGAAGCTGATAGTGACATACAAGAAGATGAAAGAACCCTGTTCTATAACCAAGCAGTGGGGCTGTTCAGTCGCAGGGAACCGAATATGCGTACAGTGCAACCTAGCACCAACACTAGTATAACCAATAAGCAAATACTAAGAGACACAACGATGTGTAGTATAGAGGAAGGAAATATGCAATGCAAAGACCTGAAAAGTAAAACCCAAGCACCGGTAGCTAGGGACAAGAGAGTATAATCAAGATGATGAACGAAAAAGACCGAGGAAGCAAGTGGTAACAGAATGTACACGATCAAGCAAGCATACACACACACACTCTAATGTACATATAGGAGTGCAGCCAGACACTGAACGACGGTCAGGGAAAGTGTGTCCAGAAAGCAATGACTGAGGCAACGAATGAATGTCCAGATATAATTGATAGAAGCACATAGTAAGGTCACATTAAGATAGTGCAAAGTGGCCATTCAACACACTACAAATAACACCCAACACTCATCCAAAAACCGAGAACCAGCGCTTGGCTGACAGTATCACCAGACTGTATACTCTCACCTGTAGAGTATAGACACTATCGGGTCACGACACAGCTGAGATGTGTAATAATCCGGGAGCATTGCTAGTGAATTATGTTCGGAGTTGCGTGAACAGGAGGAAAAGATGAGACGTAGCGTAAGGCGGAGGTGGTGCCACTCCAAGCCACCCCAAACCCATAAGCAGAGAAGATAACTAGGTGGTTCCCCCATATATAAAATCCAGAACTACCCCAGTACCTAAGGGGCTATGACTAGAGAGAAGATAAGCGAGAGTGGCGTATAACCCGTGAGAAGGACACGGAATTCCAACACATGTTAACACCGCCCAGAAACAAAACAATTCCCCACGGTGCATGCGCGCGAGTACCAAGCTGCACCACCCGTCTTTCAGGGAGGGGTGCCTACAAAGGGTAATGAACGATTAATAGGAATGTCGAGACAGGCTGGAGAAAAGACGTAATTAAAAAATAAGTAGAGATCGGAGCGAAAAACGATAAGGAGTACAAAAGAAGGCCAACGAGTCCTAGAAACGACTGGAGGTAAGCCTCACTGGCAGACGACAGATGTTCCAATAATATGGGAAGTATC